ACACACACACACACAGTAACACACCCTGCAACCTTCCTCCTCTCCTCAGCCACCATTACCACACACTCTGCCTTCAATCAGCTGGAAACTGAGACAACACGGGAAGCTGTTTTCTATATGTGTGTGTGTGTGTGTGTGTGTGTGTGTTGTGGGATCATGGGACTACACCACAGCTGGTTTGCATCACACCATCATCATCTAAAAACACACTTGAACACTAACAGTGGCAGCAGTGGGAGCGATTTGTCTGCGTTTGCGCCCATGGTCCCGGTAATGAGGCTGAAAACAAACCCAACTTTCTGCTTAATGAGCTCTTCCTTTTGTTCCCACTGGTCATCCAGAAAAATGTCTCCACACAAACACCCATCCATCCATCCATTTTCTGAACCCCCTTGTCCCTCAGTGGGGTCGGGAGGGTTGCTGGTGCCTATCTCCAGCTAACGTTCCGGGCGAGAGGCGGGGTACATCCTGGACAGGTCGCCAGTCTGTCGCAGGGCAACACAGACACACAACCATGTGCACACACACACACACCTAGAGGCAATTTAGACAGACCAATTAACCTAACAGTCATGTTTTTTGGACTGTGGGAGGAAACCGGAGTACCCGGAGAAAACCCACGCATGGAGAACATGCAAACTCCATGCAGAAAGACCGGGGCCGGGAATCGAACCCAGAACCTTCTTGCTGCACGGCCCACACAAACACCGTTGACCTCAAGTGATAAACCCCTGGAAAGGTCTCAGGAAGTCAGAAAACAGACATCTGGTGACCCCTAGTGGAGCCACAGGAGACGGCTTGTCCAGTGAAAAAACTATTTATTCATATTACCACATATTAGCATACACATACTCTGAAATATATTAACATTTAAGATCTTTAGATATAGTGTGTACAAATATCCCCAAATCCATGTTTATTGGCATACATGTGCAGGATAATAGAACATTTCTTGTGGTTTTGCTGCATTCATATGTTACACAATCCGACCCACTGAGCTAAAACTGTAAAACTGAACGTCCGTCATCGTTTGGGCTAAAGTGCAGATTCACAGCCAGCAGCTGGAGAATATCTGATGAACTAGTTTTACCTGCGGATGGAGCTTATTGGTCGTTCCTTCAGAATAAAACAGATTCTCTTCCTTCATCTTTAACTTTGACACGTTTGCAAAACATTCAAGGACAAAAAGGAAAAAAACTGAAATTATTTATGAACATCTTCATAAAAATTTGAAAAAGCTCACAAAGATGAAGTGCAACAGAAATCATGCGTTTATTCACAAAGCTTTGCAAAAAGTTCTCACACCCCACTGACTTTCCCTTTATGTTCCCACAGACCTCAGGCAGCTTTTTAGGATTT